GCGGGCGGGGGGCGGGGGGAGCAGCTTTTCTCGCCCCGGAGGAGGCGGGCGGCGGGACCAGGCGTCCCACCGCTCCAGTCCTCCGGGGCGAGAAAATCGCCGTTCGTATCTGCGGATCCGACATAAGTCGGATCCGCGTAACTCGGGGACTGCCTGTACTGGATCTTAAAAATGATATTCTTATTACTATCTTCTTTTCACCTCCAACTTTGAGTCCCATCTGATGTAAGCAGCTGCGACCAAAAGAACTACTACATCTAGAAAACAGTATTCCAAGTCAGCTGAAAGAAAGGCAGAATTTACAGTTTTCAAATAGTATGAAACATTACATGCTGACTTACCAATAACTACAAGATTTCAAATATGCATGACTTTAAATTCTGACTCATTACTTATGACTTGTACATCATTCGATAATGCCTCTAGTTTAGTAAAGAAAATTAATGAGTTTTCTAAAAAGCTTTTACAGTGTTCAGCAGACACAGAATTCTGGTCACTGTCACACATTTTTTGTTACCTGTCTTTGGCTTCACAAGACCCACAGCAAGAATAGTTTCACTAAGACCATCAAAATAAGCAAGGTCTCCCCTGTCAACAAGCGAGAAAAAATTACATCAGAGCACAAAATAAAATATTTACAACAATTATGTAATAATTACTAAATATGCAGAATCTGAAACTTTTAAATTATTTTGTTACTATGCAACAATTTGAACCAATCTCCTGCATTCTAAGGGTGAAAGCGAGACCATCAGACTTGAATCGACAGAAAAAAGTCATCAAAAGAGCTATGTAATTAATCTTCTATTTGGAATGAAGTATCCAAATGTGGTTTAAATTTCAAATTTGAAATCCAACAGTATTTTTTATTCTAAGTTCCTTATTCACATAGTCTATTTTGAGATCTAGTACACCCAAAGTTAGCCCAGATATAGGTCTACAGTAGAAAGGAATTCACTGCACTATTTACAACCAACTAATTTCACAAACCAATTAGAGAGTGAGTTTGCAGAACTGGAACAATTTTGACACCCTTACCCTTGAACAAAGACAGTAACTGGTTGGTGTATTAGCAGCCAATTTCTCCCATCTTTAACATCTGCATTTCCACATTAAAAACTATGTATGGGACACATCTAGCCCACTTAATTAGCCTCATTAACATGGGTCTTAAAATTGACAGGTGGTACTTCTGCTGTTACATATATCTCTTGGTTTCTGTCATTTCCACTCCAATTCATCTGATGAAATGGATTTTACCCATGAAATCTCACAAACCTACATATTTTGGTTAGTCTCTATAGTGCCACACGACTATTTGTTGTTTTTGAAGTTACAGACTAACACAGCTATCCCTCTGAGATTTTTGAAAAAGACAATTAACTTATCTTCATAATTTTATCATAATTCAGAGATCATAATACATTTAAATCAGAAAGCTCTGATCGATCTTTATTATTCTAAACTCACATTATAAACAAAAAAATAACTGATTGTGGTAACACAATTTCCTACTACGTATGTGTTAGCCAAGTTAATTGTATTATGAGCAGATGGAGTCTAATACAAAAACATTGTTCATAAAAATTATGAACTAAAGCTCAATACAGAAACACCAACAACTTTAGGAGAGTAAAGAAGTCTAATATTAAATATATGCATTTTCTTTTTCTACCTGTTATCCTCCATACATTTAAAAAAAAAAATCCAGAACCTCAAATGATTAAAGTACCTTAAAATAAGTACACTTCTGTACTAGGGATGTAAGTGTCTAGTCAACTATCCCATAAGCAAAAGCTTTTGCTTATGGGATAGTTGACTAGTGATGTGACTAGTCGCTTCGCCCCCACTTGCTGCCTCTATCAGAGAGAGGCAACAAGGCGGGGCGGGGAGGGTAGTGGGGGAGAGCAGGAGCAGGTGCTCGCAGCACTGTCTCCATGGGAGGGCAGGGGAGATAGAGGCACAGTGGGAAACGGCATGAGTGGGATCTGAAGCAGTTTCTACTCACGCTGCTTCTGCTGCAATTCTGCTTTTGAAATGCAAACTCCCCGCTCCCCCACACTCCCTGCTTTTGAAATGTACAAGGCTCTTGGACATTCCAAAGGCTGAAGACCCGCAATCCCTGTGGGATTTCTGCTTTTGAAATGTACAAGAGCCTGACTGAGGCTCTTGTACATTTCAAAGGCTTAGGACAGGCATGTCCAAAGTCCGGCCCACGGGCCAATTGCGGCCCGTGTTCCGGTTTAATACGGCCCCACAGGTAATTTGGCAATATCTATCTTTTATGGCCCCCAACGAATCCATATGTATTGAGATGAATACATTGTAAAATCTCAGTTAATGTCAGTTGGTCTAAATCAGTTATAAATATATTTGGACACAACATGTATACTTGGTGTTATGTTCCTGTTCATATTTTTTGAACTTAAAAGTTGACAGACAACCTTTATTACCAATAATATGTAATGTACTTTACAATGTTCCTGACATATTTCAGCTTCCTGGATTTTTTTTTCATCTGGCCTTCAGATATGAAAGGCAGAGTGATGTAACACCTGTTTAGATTTGTCATCCATGTGACGAAATGAAAAGTATGCCGTTTGCAATAAACTTTGCATAAAATAGTTAATTTGCATTTAATTTTAATGGTTCAAAGAATGTCAGGCAAAATGGTCGGCCCTCACGCATGTTCACTTCATCAAATCTGGCCCTCTTTGAAAAAAGTTTGGACACCCCTGAACTAGGAGCTACTTCCTCATAATTTCAGTTCTTCTCTTTCTGTTTCTTATTCATACCATCAGATTGTATACTTCCCTTCAATTCCTTCCAACAGTATTTCCACTCTGGTCAACAATCTGTCATCTTGACACAGCAATCTGTTTCATGATTGACAATTTCTAGACCATACTTAATGCATTTACTGATATATTACTTTCCACACAATAGCACTGTAATTACTATATATCAAAATATAGAGTTTTACTACAGTAACAACAAAAAGGATTTTTTTTCTTGGTCTTTTGATGAGGATCAACTATAGGATCAAATATCTGTCATTTATCAGGTAAAATTGAGCCCAACCCAAACACAAAATATTGGAACCCAGATCTGGATCTGAAATTTGCAAAATTATCCATGACATAATATATTGAATCAAAGCCTGGAACCATATATACCAAAGGTTGGCGTACAGAAAATCTGGATCCCAAATCTATATTTTGTAACTAAAACCTATCTTTAAAAAGCAAGAAAGAATAGTCTGCCTTTTAAGAACAATGGACAGACTGACCTAGTAAGACTCTTGCATCTCAGACTACTATGATTCTAAGAGTGACTTTTTATAGCCATCATATTTTATATACGGTCATATTTTATATACTAGCTCCTCTTCTGCCTTCCCACACAATCTGTACAGATTCCTGTGGCTGTTTCTTCACCATGTCCTTTTCATTTCACCCATCCTTTTCACTACAGTCCCTGTGCAACAGTGTTAACCTAGCTTTCAGGGCCTAAGGAGAATAGAGGTCTACTTACTCTTAGCTTTTTTTGTGGATAGGCTTAGCTAGGATTGTTCCTCCCTCTTTCTCTGCCTCTGGCTGGGCAGCCTAACAGTAGTAACTGCTGACTGAGGGCCCAGCACTGCAAGTAGCAGTGCAGAATTAAATATAGCAATACCATAGCTACCTTCAGCAGTAGCAGCAGCAGCACAGAAGTAAGGGTACAAGGACTGCAGTCTCCCTACAATAACTTTGTGGCCCTCAAATCCTTTTTGTGTCAGGATTCCTATAATTATAATACTGTACTGTGAAATTTCAGCTTTTAATAGCTGGAATTATGTCATTTACAAATTTAAAAACCCTCTGACCATGAAATTGACCAGAATTAGTGGTGAATTTGGTAGGGTTCCAAACTATAAAATAAATAAATTTATGCTGAGACCAAGATTTTCAAAATTTAGAGACTGAAGCCTGGCTCATGAATTCATATTTAAGCATGTAATTAAGTAGCCTAATTCTCAAAATTGCGGTGTTTCCAGGAATCCCCATGAGGTCAATGGAAGCTCAACATTTCTGAAATCAGGACACTTATTTAGGTGCCTAATTGTAGAATTAGGAGCCCAGTCTTGTGAAACCATTCTTTGAAAATATTAGTTTCAGAAACCATTGCTGTTTTTAAAATGTTCAAGTGTGTATCAGACCAGAACCTGAATGGTACCATTCTAAACCATATCTGAATATGCCAAAAATTTGGTGTATGTGTGTGTGGAGGAAGTATTAGTATCCAGCATTTTGCTTTGGGCTCTAGAATACATACACTGTTCTTGTATCTCTAGCATATATGTGCTGTACACAGGAGTGCAACTGCCACTAGGGTGGAGGGTTTATGCATGTATACATGAGCTGAGTGATGGTGTGTGCATACATTTGGGATAGTTTAGGTGGGATGTGAAGATGGGTTGAGCTCAATCAGTTTGTGAAAAGTGAGTAAAAATTCATTGTGTCACAATAACTCAAAATGTTGATGAGAAAAGGTGCAAAATGGAAATAGACTGAATTAATGCAAAAAGACATGGCTTTCTGATATGGAAGTTAATGATTACTGGTAAACCTCACTCTTAAAGGGTGAGACTTACTAGTTCTGGTTATCCAGCAGGAGCTGAAACAGCACTCAGCCTGTGCCGGCCAGGGTGCTGCTTCAGACCCACAGGTCCTGCTGCTGCAGTGAGTTGCAGGCAGGTGCTGCTCCAGACCCACAGAGTAACTAGGGTTTAATGGTTACCTTGTTACAGTTTATAAAACTTTTTTATATCCTATTATCAATTTCTGATGCTCACCCTTGACGGGAGGAGGCTAACTGTTGTGAGAATCCTTTAGCTGTGGAGACACCTGATTTCCTATTACAAGCATTCTTGTAGTAGATCCAAAATATTCCAGGTTTAGACTTTAGTCAAAGGTGAACTGGTGATCTCATGCATGTATAGAATAAGAGCAAAAAATATCTTGAGAGTTTTCAGCTGGGGAGGGGAGAGGGATAAATTTGTTTTTATAACACATAAGTGTATCTTTCTCTCTGAAGGTTGTTTTTTAAAATGTGTTCCATGACAGCTGTAGATAGAAAGCTGAAATGGGCAGGAAAATAGGACTCTCTGAGAAATGTCTGTAAGGGTTCAGATGAAAAATATGTTTTGATTTGACTGAGTTATTAGGATTAAAATTCAACATGGTCTTATGTACTGCTATATTTTTGGTACAATTTTTTTACTACTTTTTACTGACAGTCTAAGCTGAGTTGGTAGCTAATTTAACTGTTTAATACATATGCATACTTTCATATAGGAGACATTGAAGGAATCAATTCGCCTGTGGAGCATACATTTTTAACATGTATTGGTAGAATTCTCTATGATATTAAACTCTCAAAACGTTTTGGTTCTTTGCATGGACTGTTCTCTGTACCTGGCATCTAGGGTGCATCTATAGTCTTCCAGTACATTTCACACTGGGGAGATTGTTTGGGGGAAAAGAGACATACTGGATGTTATAAAAGCAAATAAAGTGTGCTGGAACCTCTTCTCCAATCTTTTGACCTCCCGATGTCCTTGGTGTGGCCTCTTGACTCGCTGCAAACAGCATTGCCACAATAAAAAGTGCTATTTATAGCAAATGAAACCAAAACTGGAAGGAAAAATTATTCACTCACTTAATATCTTTAAACTGTGTGGTACTTAATGAAGACTTCCATTATAAGTGAGCCTGGCTGTTATGTTCTGGGATCAGAATGTGGGATATATTCAAATAATTGATAATCAAGTCTTCAGAATTAAGTCATACCAGTGATTTTCTGGCACTTAAAAAGCCTGATGTTTAGAAAGCGTCTGATGGAATTCTAGGAGAACATTGTGAAGTACTCAAGTATTTGAGGCCCGTTATTTAGTCCATGGTGTGCACTAGTTACATCTTAGGAGGAAGAAATGTGTAAAAGGGTTTGAGGCCGGGTGTTTGCTAGTATGCTTTGTGGTGTAATAGTACATGTTAAATCTCTGTTACGTGGGATTCCGTGGTCCAGCAACATCTGTTGTCTGTCAAGACCACCGATATTCCAGGACCAGAGAATCCCAGAGGAGGGCTGGTGGCTGGGCTCCCAGCGGTGGGGCCAGGAGCCTGGCATGCCAGGAGCTGGGCTGCCCAGCATAGCAGGGAAGAATGTGGGGGGATCGGGAGGACAGCAAAGCTGATGGCAATAGGAGTTGGCCAGGAGGCCAGCAGTTGGTCCAGGGCTGTGGGGAGCCGGTAGCAGGGGAGCCAGATATGAACTTCCCTGGTCCGGCAAAATCCCTCATCCTGAGGGTATTGAACCACGGAGGCCCAAACTGTAGCTCAGAGGCCACAGTTATGGATCGGCTCAGATCCCCATTGAAGTAAGTACTTTACTAATACAGCAACAAAAATGTTCCCTGATCCTCTTTAGAGTTTATAATTTACCAGGGAAATAGTTAAGGGAAGAGAAGGAAAGTCCCTGCATAAAAGCTATCAACTATTATCTGTTTACAAATTGAAAAGAGGAATATTTGCTCTTGAGAAGATGTCCAAGAAAAGTCAAGATTAAGTATGTCTTGGGAGAGGAAGAGGAGCTGTCCAGTTTTGTGTGATTTGGTAGGGATGTAAGCGACTAGTAGACTATTGGATAAACATACGCTTATTGGATAGTCAGCTAGTGACTCGACTAGTTACTATCAGAGAGAAGCAGCAAGAGAGGAGCAGGAGCCGGTGCTGAGAAGATCTGGTTCCCTCCTCCTCATCTCCTTGGGGGAAGAGGCAGAGATACAGTTGGGAACTGGTGGTGCTTCGGCTTTGTTTCAAAATGCTATGTTTCAAAAGCAGAAGCTCCGTGGGGAACACAGGGCGAGCTGGGGACTCAAGCAAACTCCCCGCTCCCCCACACTCCCTGCTTTTGAAATGTACAAGGCTCTTGGACATTCCAAAGGCTGAAGACCCGCAATCCCTGTGGGATTTCTGCTTTTGAAATGTACAAGAGCCTGACTGAGGCTCTTGTACATTTCAAAGGCTTAGGACAGGCATGTCCAAAGTCCGGCCCACGGGCCAATTGCGGCCCGTGTTCCGGTTTAATACGGCCCCACAGGTAATTTGGCAATATCTATCTTTTATGGCCCCCAACGAATCCATATGTATTGAGATGAATACATTGTAAAATCTCAGTTAATGTCAGTTGGTCTAAATCAGTTATAAATATATTTGGACACAACATGGATACTTGGTGTTATGTTCCTGTTCATATTTTTTGAACTTAAAAGTTGACAGACAACCTTTATTACCAATAATATGTAATGTACTTTACAATGTTCCTGACATATATTTCAGCTTCCTGGATTTTTTTTTCATCTGGCCTTCAGATATGAAAGGCAGAGTGATTTAACACCTGTTTAGATTTGTCATCCATGTGACGAAATGAAAAGTATGCCGTTTGCAATAAACTTTGCATAAAATAGTTAATTTGCATTTAATTTTAATGGTTCAAAGAATGTCAGGCAAAATGGTCGGCCCTCACGCATGTTCACTTCATCAAATCTGGCCCTCTTTGAAAAAAGTTTGGACACCCCTGGCTTAGGAGTTCCCCACTCCCTGTGGGTTTCCACTTTTGAACTGTAGCAAGAGCCCTATTAGGCTCTTGCTACAGTTCAAAGGCAGAGGTGCCTTTATAAACTACTTGAATAGTCAATGGAAATTGCATCAACTATTTGATTAGTTAATTAATCTAAATTTAACATCCCTAGTCTGTGCTAAAACAAATCACTCCCCTTATAGCCATCAGTTAATTCAGATTTAAGACCATATATACCTTTAGAAATTTTTTCTCTACATACCCATCTTCATAATTCCACATAAAAATGTCACTGTCAATGGTCAGCCATGCCCTGCTGATATCTGGAAATACTCCCATCATACAATTACATTGCATATCTGAATTACAACAGATGTAAGGAATAATATACTCAGGCTAGCCAAGACAAAATCCCTATGTCACTATTTTAAAGTTGTAAGAATATGCACAGATACTAGTTAAAGAAGTTCTGTATGTGTGTAAAAGGCACATTTTGACAAATGTGAAAAAATAAACAAAAACTATCTTTACAAGAAATCAGATACAGATTTTAGGGGAAATTTCCTTGGTATTAACTGTGCACTTCCCAAAGCCATGATCTCATATTTTAGCTTTCTCTAGCCCTGCTTTGTTTGAAGATATTGAATATCAAACACATGAAACATAATACCAGTAATACCAATTGAAGTTCCTCTTATGCCATAAAAAGACTATGCTTCATGTTGTACAAACCAATAACTAATATTTATACAACTAACACTGCTGACGCTCGGGCAGAATCAAATGTTCAGTTGGTAAAAAGAAAAAAGGCACTACTTAGTATCCCTATTACCAGAGCTCGCCGAACCGCGGCGAGCCCCGCTCGCCAGCTGCACTGTCCAGCGATCTGTGCATGCGCAGATCGCCAGAACCTGGCTCTTGTGGGTTACAATCTACTCGCCATGGGCGAGTAGATTGTATAATTTGTCGAGCCCTGCCTATTACTCACGAGTATTAAAATTGAACACTCCATTAGAAGCGATAATTATTGTTTATCAAGGCCTACCTCCACCCTACCTATCATTTCTAATTCACAAACAAAAAGTAAAATACTGCTTCTGAGCAGAACAATGATGCCACAAATTTTTGCTTATTTCCATGCTGCAACTCATGTTTGAAAGTTCTATATAAATGTCTACAAAGCTTCCTCATTTTCCACCTTCAAAACCTTACAACTGTCCTTTGATGTGCTGGTGCCTACAAAACACTTGACAGCAGTTAGGCTATGTCTCCACAGCAGCTTTATTTCAGAAGAATGTCAGTTATTCTGAAATAATGTAGTGTGCATCTACACAGCAAGCACATTATTTTGAAATAAATGCAAAATAATGGGCTTCTTACTCCAACTTCTGTAAAACTCAATGTATCAGGAGTAAGGGAAGTCAGGGGAAGAGTGCTCTATTTTGAAATAACAGCTGTGTTGACAGTGCCAAAAGTCAAAATAAGCTATTGCGACTTAAACTATGCAATTAGCGTTGCTCAAGTTGCGTAGCTTATTTCGAGTGTAGCCCTGCTATGTAGATGTGCCTTTAGTGTGCTGAGACTGTTGCACATCACGCTAATACACTCACAACACACAATCTCACACAAACCAAAATCTGATACGGTGCCCCAGGTGAGCCAGAAGTATCCAGAGGGCTGCGGAATGGCCCTGGGCTTTGGCAAGATGTAGACCTCATGTGACAGCATGGAGCCAGAATTTAGCTGCCGGGTAAGCACCATGTGACATGCATGGCACAGAAGTAGGCAACATCCAAAAATATTTTAATGACTGGTATTCTATTTTTAACACTGCAATTAATCATAACTATTTTTAAATCTGACATGTTTTTTTAAATTGTTTGACAACCCTAAAAACACTTCGTTATTCCACTTGATGTTAAAAACATTTAAATTTTACCAGTAACTTATGAAGACCCCTTTAAATGTATTAAGATCATTATGATAATAATACCCAACTGGCATTGAGTATCAAAATTACACGTAGTTGCTGATTGCTGAAATAACTTTACCTCTTAAGAGTCCTATGGACTCCAATGACGGATAAGAATACATCCAGGGAAAGGTACTTGAAGAATCTTGGTCAAAATATTATGAAATAACAAACATTCATTTATAACATTATTATACACACAAAGAAATATGTGGTTTTTATTAGGATACGTCCAAATTGCTCCACTAGCTCAGGAGGAAGTGGGACTCTGCGGATTGAACTTATCTCTGGAAGATTGGGTATTGAGAGCAAACCAGGTCCTTGCAAAGGATAATCCATATCTGACATACCAGAAACTGTGGGACTACCTGCAATTAAAAAAAGGAAATACACTTTAAAATGTCATATGTAAAACAAGATATCAGCCAAAAAATAACACGTACATGATAATAGATTTCCCCTGCCCCAATATCTGAATTAGCAAGCATTCATATTTATTAAATCTAAATTAGACTAGTATAAATTCCTCTTAATTTTGGTGGATTATTTCAGATAAATGGACAAACTATAAAGTTCTCAAACCACAGCACTAAGAGTACAACAGCTCATTCAAAATATGTATAAAGCATTTTTAAATGAGTGACTTTTCACAATTTTAAAAGCAAGTCTTTAAAGCCTTATCTCGAATATAAACTTTATATAAAGAAAACAAATACAACATTCACTGTACTCCTAAAATTGGTGGATTGGCTTTAAAAATCTAATAAATATGCTTATAGCACCTTCCATCCTAAAGGCTCTCAATAACTGTTCACATACTACAGTGGTATAATACAAGTGAAATACAGTCCCCTCTATTTATTATAAATACTCAAGTTTACATTTGAAATATTGTTTTTCCTGGCAACAAAAGCAAGTTAGGCTGAAGTCAACAAGAGTCTCTTTTGTGAGAAGAATCTTATCAGGCCAAGAAAAATGATTCTCTATTAAGCTTCGTAAACATGGTCTTGCTTTTCCTTTGGTTACCTATTTGACAGTTCACTAACTTCTGACATGTTTTCATTTTAAAATTGTTGTACATTAGTTTATGCTCTATGTTAGTGAAACAAGTTTTCAAAAAGTGTGTTCTTAAAGAGTAAAAAAGATGTGTATCATCTGCCTATGCACAAAAAGTGGAAAGATCATGGCCTTTTTTATTTGATTACCCTCTTTGGAGGCATTTACTCCTTTTTTTACTGGAATCAATCCCAGTGCCATTACTTACTATAGGATCATTTAAAAGTATTGATAGGGCTGTGTCAAGACTGGCAAGTTTTTCCGCAAAATCATCTGCTTTTGCGGAAAAACTTGTCAACTGTCTACACTGGCCGCTTGAATTTCCGCAAGATCACTGGCGATCTCGTGTAAGATCGTCAGTGTTCTTGCGGAAATACTGTGCTGCTCCCGTTCGGGCAAAAGCCTTCTTGCGCAAATCATTTGCGCAAGAGGGCCAGTGTAGACAGCACAGTACTGTTTTGCGCAAAAAAGCCCCGATGGCTAAAATAGCGATCGAGGCTTTTTTGTGCAAAACCGTGTCTAGATTGGCGCGGACCCTTTTCCGCAAAAAGTGCTTTTGTGGAAAAGCATCTGTGCCAATCTAGACGCTCTTTTCCACAAATCCTTTTAACGGAAAAATTTAGTGTTTTAACTTAATTAATATACTGACCTCCTGACAAGGTAGAAATATAACTCATCAAAGGTAACTGAACTGAAACACAAAAGGAGGCAAATTCTCAACATACATGGAGAATATATGGGCAATCAACAAGGTAACTTTAAGGCAACCGTTCAGGAATTATTTGGCAATTTCTTAGTGTCAGTGCTATCCTTAATCACCTGTGGACAATAAAGAAGCTCATAGGATATATCTACAATGCAACAGAACACCCTACGTCAACTGACATCGGCTCATAGTGCTTGGGCTATAGCTTCAGGGCTATAAAGGTGCAAGGCATATGCTGTCCAGGCTCTGGCTCAGACACCACGCAATGAGCGAGCCCAGGCAAAGCATTTCCACAACCATAATCTGAACGACTCCTCACAGGGGCTGGGGACCCTGGAGTTGCCAGTGCTCCACGCGCTGCCGGTCTGGCTAGGAGGTGTCTGCCCGTGGGGCGCTAGTGCCAGGAAGAAGGCAGCAGAGGCGCGCACAGGGAGGGGGCGCTG